AGTCTTACACTGCTAAATTAGGGACGGCTAGCGCAAATAGCCCTCGTGTAGCTTTGCACGAAATCCATAACAAACAAACAAACAAACGTACTTGAAACAGATAACGAATTCAGCAATTAACACCATCTGAGCAATGGAATATGTTTGTGAAATATAGCTACTTGAATTTAATTGTACAAATTATGATGTACGCTCTTCTCGGTTTTAATATAAACACGACTAAGGCTAAAATGTGTATCTTGATAATCGTTGTAGCACAAATTAGCAATATTTTCACGTGAATATTCGTTAAGAACGAATATTGTACTTCTCTGATTGGAAAAGAAAATATCCTTCGAACTTTTGACGTAAATGGTATGATGGTGTTATACATTAATTACTAGCTAACTATTGATAATCCGTAGTTACTGTTAAAATAAAATAAAAAAATTCGAGCCTAATAGCTATTTAAGAGCTTCTGAGTAACCTTGTACTTTACTGATCTGATATTTGTTTTTATAAACACATTGATTCTTTGGGGCTCGATCCCCACGGTGGGAAGAGTAAATAGCCCATTGTGCATCTTTGAACAGACGAATCAAAAACAGCATTAGTCTTCTCAAATTTGTAGCAACTGTACAGCCGAACATAGGATACTGTATCATCTGTAGGATATGGAGGGGTAACACAAGTACAAAATCAGTGATGATAATTACATCAAAGATGCTAAACCATTTGCTGAAGCGTTACACAAAACTTTCAGTCCAAAGAGGCAGAACTTAATTGACTGACATGTTGACCAACGTTTATCTTCTCACAACGTTTTGCTGGGGCAGCGGTAATTTTATAGACTTAAATGCTAAAATGCGAGGTTCAATTCCTCGCGGTGGACACAGCAGGTAGCCCAATGTGGCTTTGTTCTAAAACAAACAAGCAAAATCGACGTTTTTGCGGACTAAATAGACTGTTGTTCTCTAACGAGATTGATTGTACACATAACTTTTCTATGCCAACAAAACCTTTTTTACTCCTAAGCCTCGCCATTATGATATCCTATTATTTTTAAACCCCTGCCAACATCGAAGTTAATGTTTTCACTCACTTCATTTTTAATGCATTTTGATCAAGTTGCCCGGTAAAAATTTAACACGAAAACCGATATGTTATTTTGTATAAAACTTGTCTCGAAAAGTATCAAAAACAAGTTATTTAGTCTTCATATTTGCGTACAATAAGAAATTTACATAACTGTCAAGACCATACTGTAAAAACCCGTCAGATGAACAGCTTTCTATTCTAAAAACCTTTTGCAATATTTACAAGACATCAATAAGGCTGCATGTTGAATGTCCATTATAGAAATATCAAAATAAAAAACATTATTTATTATTGTTTCTATTCTATATATAAGTTTTAGGTACGTGAAATAGAACATAAGAGTGTACTTATACATGATATTATCACAACAATAAATATAATTTTTTGTGTTTTTGATTATAACACGAGAACAAACAAACAGATT